TTGCACTCCACATGTTATGCAGACTAAGAGAACCCGTAGCGGTTCGCATTAATTCCTCTTCTTCTTGTTGTTGTTGTTCCTTTCTCTTTCTCTCTTTTTTCCATCTCGTTGAGCGGCCCCGCGGGGGCTTTACCTGCCAAACATCTGCACGCCTTTAACAAAGCAGTCACTGTCACAGACCATGGACGAGGATGGCCCATATGGCTATCAGCGTGCGTGGAACAGAGATGGAGGACGGACCCAACTAGGTTGACCGCGATGTGAGAAAAACAGGTCCTTGCGTTCGAGGGGCAGACCCCTCCCGACCGGATCGCATCCCCCGCACGTGAGAGGACCCACTATTGTAGAGTCAGGTGTCGCCTCGGAATTTTATGTTAATATTAAAAATATCTTTTTTCCCTTTTTAATCATTTCGTCAACAAAAAACTTATTATAAACATCTTAGAATAAATTAGACTTAAGAAACTACTTTCCTTTGAGAACATTTCATTTAACTTTTTATCATTTTTTTTAATGTACATTTGTAAATTGATATTGCATTAAAAACATGGATTATAAAAGTTTTAGTTACATATTACATATTTTTATATAAATTATTTCCTCACGACTGTATCAACATCACACAACTAATTCCATCTAAGATAGAGTAAATGGAAATAAGTGAAGTATATCAATAGTATGTTTATAATAAATATTGCCAAACACCGTATATTTTTTTAATGTGTCATATTTGTAATCAGATATGAGCATTCATTTCGATTTTAAAATATAAAATAATTAGCAACCAATTTTACAAAAAACCACTTGAATATTGATGTAATTTGACTTAATAATAATACAAAAAAAACTAAAGTTTGAACTTTGTTATTGGTTTCTTACAATAAGCAGGAAATTTACATTTTAAAAACAGTCAAATTTATTCATTGCACTAAAAAAATAAATAAATAATTACGAAATTTACAAATTACTCAATTTTTAATATTAGAAGTAAATAATAGAAAAAATATTTTTTCCTAAAATGCTTATTTATTAATTTTAAATAGGTCTTTCTGATATTTTCTCAAGTTTTATTTTGGTTTACTATTTTTTTGGTTATATACATTTTTGCATTGCTATTTTCAAATGAATTGAAAAAAAATATAAACTATAATATTAGTAACTCATAGAAATTAAAATATTTTTTAATAAATTATTGTAACATACATTTTATTACGAAATTACTTAGTTTATTCTTTGAAGTCGATGGTAATTGATATATCTTTATATATGATATTTTAATGTGTTATATTATCGTGATCTATCATGAGACAACTTTTATTAAGTATTATAAAAGTAAATGTTTTCAACTAAAAATCTTCAAAATCAATAAATAATAAATGGGCCAGACAACAACTAGGTGATAATGATGAATCTTTACTAGTTTCATTACTATTCAGTAAATGTGTAAGTAAAATTGTGTTAAATAATGTAATTTCTTAATAAAACTCAATAGAAATCAATACTTTTTAAAATTATATAATAATTAAATAAATGATTGGTCATAATTTGGAACAAAGGGTTGTCTGTATTGGAAACAATAATTAAAAAAATAAATTTGCTAATTGAGTAATATCCAAATCTTTAAAAAATAATATAATTAGAAAGAAAAGAAAAAATATGTTGGAATCATAAATAATAAGCTGGGTGTGAGTAATGACTTGACATATTCCATGGAGGTGGGAATTGATCGATTGTGGAAGCATTTCAATTTGATAAATCAATTGGGTCTGTGTCGAAGATCAACGAATCATCATCAACCGTGACCGGTTCTTCGAGCGCCTCCGTGCTTTTATTCTTCGTCTTTTCCTCTCTCCGACTGCTTTCTTGGAAAGGCTTCGTCGAACGAATAAGACTGACTATACTATACGCGAACGTGTCTGGGCGGACGGAGAAGATTGATGCATCCATCTCGGAAAGCCCTAATGATCGTTTGCACCCCTCCGCAGAACACCAACCACTCAGAATCCTCGAATGTGTTAATAGAAATTCCATTTTTCAAGCAACTACCAGAACTTGCCACCACGCACATAATGATGATGCTGTTGCCTGATGCATGCGAAAGGGGAGAGGGAGGAACGCCGCTGGTTGTGTAATTATCGATTCTTGACTTTTGTTTATCAAGAAAACATGTCTAAAGGGGCTTTTAGGAGCATCGATGAAATGCAAGCGACTTTTTTTTTGCTTTTGAATGAATAATTAGCCTAGCCCATCGTGACATGATTATTAATTAAGTTATATACAATAGACCACAAGTGTAAAGCGTCTGCACATTTTCAAACTACTCGAAAACTCTTAATAAATTGCCACAGCATATATCCTCTGTCGCCTATAAATTCCATAACGTCTGAACCACAAATATTTGAGAAAACAACTTCGTGTCTCCTGTGTAACTTCAATCAGCGGCCTCCTATCTCCCATACGATGACAAACATTCCCTCAAGTTGATTTAATTAATTGTAACATCGTGTATTAGCTATTTCCATCGATAAAAACATCATTTGCTTTACATAAATTGAAATTTTCGACTTACGAACACTAAAATTTCTAAAATATTCAACTTTTTTCTTAATATATACATCAAATAATATGTTACAATAAACTAAGATAACGTCAAATAAAAAATAAATTTTGTTCGTAACTTGAAAATTTTATGAAAATATCAATCAATTAAAAATAAAATGAAAAATAAATATACTTATTTAATTCCGTATTTTGCATATATAGAATATTTCAATCCAAGCAAGAATCATTATTTATAATTTCAGAAAAATATTACTTCAAAATTGAATACCAAAAATGCTATAAATACTTTAAATATTGAATGATTTCTGAATAAAGAATATAATTCATATTTTAAATGAAACTAGTTTAAAAGGGTTTGAATACGTTCTTTAATTAAAAGGAAATACATAAATTTTGTTCACAATACATTTAAATTTGCCTTTAAAATGCTTATTTTCTTTAATCTTCTTTTATTATCTGTATTATGCCTGTAGAGTAAAGTACGAACTGATTATAATTGCATATCATTTCCTATTATATATTGTCTGCAGTGGAAAGAGTCTTCGATTCATCTATAAATAAGTCATTGCTTCCATTCCTTGCTCTAGTTATCATAAAACAACTTGATTAATACATGGTCGATGGCCAAAACCTCTATCTAACTATTGCTGTTCTATAGATTTTAAGTCTAATTTAGTAATTGATGAATCTTTAAAAATATAATGCATAGGTAAAAATGGCGATTGCTGCTTAGATAATTATATTATTTCGTGTTTTTTTCTTGCCATGATTTCAATATGTTTATTTTTTTTTCAACTTACATTTTGTGCAAATGAAGAAAAAAAATATACATCTAATTCTTAAATTGTACGATTGACTAAACAAATGTTCAACGTACACGTATATGGCTGTAATGTTTATAGTAGATATGATGAATCAGCCGTGTAATTGTATTTGAAAGGCAATGATAAGATTCTATAAAAAAAAAGTCCGATAAAACAAATCAGAAGTTACTAAACAAGCGATCGTGAATTATGCACACGAAGGCTACAATTACCTCACCGAAGCATACGAAATCGAATAATGAAAGTTTGAAGCATTTGATTACATTTTATATAAATGCATTAATTATCGTTTTCTACCTTTCATTTTAATGATTCAAAGATTATCATAGTTATGTTTATCATTAAAGTTATTTTAGTTTCTAAGTTTGATCGCCATTGTCATTTAAATTATAAGCTTAAATATAGGGTTTTAAATGGTCTTAACCTTTATTTGGTTGCAGTTTTATAGATTAACTATTTTTAATCTAATCAAGTTTTTTTATATATATTCTGCTTAAAGTTGTAAGCTCATCTACGTTTTTGAGTTCTTAATTTCTCATTGCAATTGATTACTTCTGAAGTAATATATTTTAAATTTAATTTGCATTTTAACTAACCAAAGGAAAAACAATTATGCATAAGATATATGTGCTGATTATGTTTAGTTTACTCAAATAATCCAATTTGTGGACTCATTCGTGTACGTTAACTTAATCTTAAAGATGATGAGATGTAATAAATTTAGCATTTTGGATTTAAAATGTGGGAGGCAGATTCAGGCTAGATTAATCTCGTTTAATTTCAAAGTTTATGTTAAATGGGTGATTATTGTGAAGTGTATATGGAAGAAAAGTAATTTTTCGTAAGTTTGACAGGGTTGAGAATTTTTATTCTCCATTTTGTAAATTCCTGTGTTTTGTAGTTGGCTGTCATTGATTTGCATAAAGCGAGTCTACCATTTTGTATTTAACTTGTGATTAGATAGTGTTTATTGAAATGCGTAGGATGTGTGGAGTAGGACGTTAATTAAGCGTGCGTGCATTGATGTTCTCTTCTGCGAGCCTGTTACAAGCGAACGCATGCGGTGTCCATCCAATATCCTTGTTGCGTAATGTGCGTGTAATAAATAGATAAATGCTAAGTAGTGAGTGACGGCGTGGAGGTGGCTGTTCGTGGTGAATATGGAATTAGATGTGGTTGGTAATTAGAATTGGAGAGTGTGTGTGGGAAATTTAAAAAATGGCGGCATCGGAGCGAAGCATGGCCATTGCCTACCGGCAGCAAATGATATAACGCCATCATTAAAATACAATTCTTAAAATAGAATGGACGTCCGTTATTAAAAGGGGGATTCGGTTTCTCTTCCCGAATGACGGTCGGTATGAGGGGGGCGCCCTCCTCCTCAGTCATTCTATCTGTTCCTCCCCTCCACTCCACTCCTCTCCACCAGTCGGCGCTCCCTCCTCTACCCATCATCTGGTGATGCCGCTACCGCCCCCCACCGTTCCGCAACCATCGACGATCGGACAGACGTCTGAACCAATGGGATGTGGAGTGGGGCGACGGACGATGTGATTCGTCGAGCGAAGGACGACCGGTTGGTAATTGGGGAAAAAACGGGGCGTCACGCATGCGCTGGTTGGGCGAACGCGATGGAGAACCGCCAGTGGTACCCGCAGCAATAACAGTTTGATGGTCTCGAAAGGAACGTGTGGAACCCGCGCGCATGGAACAGGCCGAAAGTTGGAGTGTGTGAGTGTGCTGAGAACGCGTCATCCTCTCAATTTGGATTCGGTTCAATTTTCAATAGATTTTCTCCGTGAGTGCCTTTATTTTCCGTGAAATGGAACGGAGGTCTTATGGTTTCTTTACAAAAAGGTTTGAGTTTGTTTTCTTTTCGTTTTTTCTCGTTTTTACCTTGTTTTCTTCTATCGTCGCGACTGCGCTGCGCACAGAAAGTGGATTACTGAGAGACGTCGCTGGTGAAAATGGTTGGCTTTAAAGAGAAAGCACGCGCATTCGAAGAGAGAGAGAGATATTGAGAGAGCGATAAAGAGCGAGACGAGTATAAACACGGTACGTCTTTGCTGTATATGTCTGTCCTGTGTATGTGTTTTTCTTTTCTTGTTGTATTTTGGTGTTGTGTAATGGTCGACCTTGGTGGAGCACCCCAAAGGTTCCGGGTTCGAATCCTGGGTAAGGTTTGGATGTTGTTTTGGCGCAGTCGGCGGAGCGGAGCATTAAAGTGGATGGAGCGCTTCGGTCGGCGGCTCCCCTTTAAACGGCGCCCGACACTACCTCGTGGCCCGCGCTGCGACGTTGCCCCCTTGCGCCGCCACCGCTTTGTTGTTGTCCGGCAACGTCGCCGCCAACCGCCGGTCTCCGGGCGTCTCTTCGCCTTTCGCACCTAAAGAAGCCCGCAAACTACCCGATTCTCCATACACACGTTTAAGAACTTTATTAATTGCCATGCCATTACCCCATCCATCCGTACTTCAAACATCTGCTACCCCATTTCTCCACTTTACCTCCGATGTCTGCATCCATCAAATTATATTTAATAACCCATTTAATCTCCCACAAAACAATCCCCAAAAGAACAAAACTTAACTCCGTGCACACTGTCATACTGCACAATACCGAATTCCTCGCAACTTAGTACACAGCTTTATATTTACAAAACAATTTTTTAAAAACTTGTTTCCACGACAACCCCGTAAACAAATCTAATATCTATCATATGCACATATCCACACACAGCGATCCCACTACAAATTCACATCTTACGTAAATACGGTGAAATTTATGTAACATGTTTTGCATGCCACGCATTATTGTCTTAGTGTTTGTTTCGTAAATTCAATTCTATAAAATAGTACCCACCTAAGCAGTTACGCTAAGCAAATCACTTCAGTTCGTAAACTGAAAATGGTCAAAATGCGTAATTACAGTGAAATATATTTTGCATGAACGCATCATCTTTATAATCGTTGCTTCTATTAAATTCTTAAACAAAAAATAAGTTACATCTTATAAATAAATACACATTAAGATTAAGAAGATTCTCTCAAGAAGATACAAACTTATATTAAATATATCAGTTGGTATTAATTCATTTTGATATTATTATCTTACACAAAAATAGGTATATATAGAAATATAACCTATGATGAAACTTCCGTTAGTTTTATGTACATGAATACATAAAACAAGCGTAAACAGTAAACGTCGAAAGAAAAACAATGAGTAATAATGAATTGACTCCAATTTTCAAATTTGTTCTGAAAAATATTTATTAGTATATTGTAACAAATGAACATTACGTAAAGTGAAACATAGTTCATTGAATGTTAAAAATTGAGTGATTTTCTAAAAATTAATATAAAACGTTATTATTCGTGAAAATTGATATAGAAGGTTTGATATTTCATATAATTATAATTTGTCTGAATTATACTAATGATAATTGAGAATTTAAGATATAAATGTATGAAAGATCATTAGTTTAAAAGGTAACGTGAATATATTTGTTAACTCCATTTTGTTAGAATGTAGAAATCTTCGTGAGCGGACGAATGTTTAAACTAATATCAAAATTCAAAATGGAGGATGTGAAACGATATTTCAATTTCCCAGAAGTTCGTAGAACCATTAGAAATGGCGATTGTGTATTTCTTTTACTTTTGTTCTTTCTTTCTCGAAAGATTCTCTCTCTTTATGTGGTGTTAGGCACCCATAAAAATGTTGGATGAATGGGGTCTGCCCCTCTGCTCTGCGAAATCCTGCCCTTTCGTAGGGAAAGCAGTAATGGCTCCCAAACAACAATAATGTTTTTGGCGGGCCCCTTTTTCCGAAATTCTCTCCGTCCTTCTCCATCACCCTCTTCTCCCACTCTTTCTCTCTTAGATAATCCTATTTGACCCGTCGTCTTTCTCTCTTTCTGTCCACCTCCCGCGCGCCACCCCTCGGAGATATAATGCAGCATGCACACATAGAGAACAGAGAGTGTGCAGGGCTCGCTCTCTCCCCCTTATATAAAGGTCCAACCCTCGTTATTTTCCTGTCGGCCGCACCCGGTGCAACCCCAGTCCCCATAGGGCTCTATACCACCCCATGCATACACAACCCTCACCCCAACCGTGCACATACAATTTTCATCCAATATCATCATCTGCCCCGTGCACAATTGCCATCCAACATTTTCTATACACCAATACATTTCACAAAATTGATAATCATCATAGTACACAGCCATTGAACATTTGCTCATATTCAACAACTTTTCAGAACACAACAATAAATATTCACTGAATACAGTAATTAGAATTTCTAAAATTCAAAATATTAATGTTTTGAGAAATATGAACATTTTCTAAATATGTTTTTAATATTATCTAAAAGTATTAAATTTTATTTCCAAATAACTATTTATTTGTTTGAAATAAAGAAGATATTAAAAACAAATATAGGAATAGGGGTATTATTTAGGTTTTCGGTTAACAAACAGGAAGACACATGTTGTCATTGTGCTTTCGGTCAAATGAAAAGTACACGTATATTTCAAATAATTTATTCTTTGTACCTGAAATGTTATTTCTTCGTTCATCGCTGAAGAGAGGTTAAAAAATATCCCCCACTGTGAAGAGCAGCCGCTTACCCAAGGATCTACCGATTGCAGATTTATAACAAGCACAAAGCACAGTTTCATTTTAGAAAGCATAAATCTCTTTTCCTTTCTTACAAGCATTATTTCTTTCAGAAAGAAAGTTTTTTGCTAGGCTAAAAATGTATTTAAACATGTTGAAAAAATTTCTTCGACTGGAAATAAAAATAATCACCTGTCTAGTATTTATGAAATTATATACCTGAAGTACACTAAAAATGAATACTATTTACTTATTGAATTCGTTTTAACTACCCCTATAATATTGGGTTCTAGCCAAACAAGTTTTTAAGGACAAAGTTGTAAACGTCGAGCAATAAAATAACCTTAACCAGTTACCTTCCAAAATATATATTACGATCGCAATAAAAAAAATCTACAATAAAAATAGTGCTCTCCGGTCTTCAGTTGTTAAGAAATATTCTCGAAGGAAAGTGATATTTTCTTGTTTAAATTTCCTTTGCTGTGATTGTTATTATGAGTTTGAAAGCGCGTACAGTGAAGCAGATGATCTTGGAGAAAAATAATAGGGAGAGCGAAATGCGCAAAGGTGTTAATACCAACATAAGTGTTTGCGATAGTACCATAGATATAATGATGTAAGTGTTCATTATAGTTTTGCTAAATTATTCTGCTGGATTTAATGAAGTTTTGTAAGAGCCTCCCACAGAGGTTCTCAAGTATTTCTGACTCATATCTCGCTTTTTCAAATACAAATGTTCGAATGCGCCGGTTGCAATCGGCGGTTCTTGTTCACATCCATATTAAAATACAGATGAGAAAGTACACCATAGGATTTTTAAAACACAGGATACAGCACATATCCTCGAGGCACGAATTACAATGTCTGAATGAATATGTATAATTATGGTGATTTCAGGATGCGAATACCGGTCGGGGCTAATTATTTTACGTTAATTAATTTTAATAAAATATCGATTGGATTCATCGCCAATGATAAACAATTCTTAATATGTTTGTGGATGCGAAAGGGCCAGATGTGGGCTATAGCTTTGGAGAAATTTTCCGCATTGCCGGAGGAAACGAAATTTATTTCAATAATTAAGAGAGATTTCGGTCCGAAATACGGCTCTACTCCGATAAAACGCTGTGTAGTCTGCGCCCTTATTAAGCCACCCCTCGATCCCCACTCCACAACCATTCCACTCTTGTAAATTAAAGTCTAACAAGAGAAAAACGGAAAGTGGAATCTGGAAAATACTCTACAAACGGAGCAGAAACTGTTATAAATAAATTAATGTTAAGATCACATGTTACCATAGATAACGTTAAAAATGCATACTGCCGCAGGAGGGGGAAAAGAAACTAGGAAAATAATGTATATAAAAAAGAGGTGTACTGTGGGGTTTCAAGTTCCCGGGGGTTAGTGAGATAATTGCATTTTGCTGGTGAATCGTGGAAGCGTTCGTCAGTGTGTATAGAAAAGGGAGCGGGAAAAGGATGGAGCATGTTCTCCGATTGCAATGCGGGTTGTTTATACCGAGCAAGCGAGATAAAGTTATGTACCGTTAGTGTTGCCACTAATGCAATGCACTTTCCAAGCTCAGCAACCCACAATCAACAGAGATGAAAAATAATGAACTATAAAAATTTACAACGCGACCGATGACTATCGTGCTGCTCGTGGTGGTGGTGATGGTGGTGGAGTCAGAAAACTTGAGAAATTTTCCTGCGTTCCACTAAACCAGAATAAGAGGCCATTGTATGCAAAATTAGTCCGTTCTACCAAAAGGCCGGATGTTTTGTTTGAGTTTTTTCTCTCTTTAACAGTTTCTTGTTCAATTTCAGATCGCAACACTACGACAACCTGCAGCAAGCGGCCGACAATCAGAAGCAACCGTTAAAAGACACGACAAACACGAGTATTCAAGCTGCTAAGCAGAAGAACTTAAATAACAACGAAGAGGATCGTGCCAACCAGGAACCAGAGTCTACGCAAGAAGCTAAGCCTGAAGGAAGCAGCGGAGGCGGCGGTACTCAGACCCAAGAGGGATCGCGCTCTTTGCAGTGCTTGGAGACTTTGGCACAGAAGGCGGGCATCTACGATATTACAGCAGAGGACTGTAAATATGATATAGCCCACACTCTGCTAAATCTCGAAAGAGGTCACGATACGGTGAAGCATCAAGATTTAAAGCAGGAAGTGTATAGCGGAAGCATGGCGGATATTAATAAAGGACAACAAATGGTCGAGGCTCAGGCCCAGCAACAACAAGCGCAGCAGCAGCAACAGCAACAACAACCACAGCAGCAGCAACAACAACAAGTTGTTCAGCAGCAAGTGGTGCAGCAGCAACAAATGCAGCAGGTCACAATGACACAAGCTGATCAGCAGCAGGCTTTAGTTCCTGCACAGAGCCCTCAGCACATACAACAAATCGCCGTTGCCTCCTCAGGTACGAAGCTTACTAATCGATCAACACCGATGCATTACAATACTAATTTGGCAGGAGGACAATGTGTGCAAACATCTATGGGCCCACCTCACTATACAGTATCGATGCACCAACAAGTTGCAGCTCAAGGAGGGCAAGTGATTCAAACACAAGGAGGTCAACTTTTGGCAACAGGCTCTAATAACACAACTATTACTACAATGTCTCCGTTGCAACAAGCGCAAGCTGCACATACCCAGCAAATGGATTGGAGTCATGGCCGAGTTCAGGTCATCCAGCAACCCCTCCAGAATCAAGCATATTTGCAACAACTATATAATGCACAAGGACCATTGCTGATGCCCGGAAACATCTCGCTCCATCCCAGTATCAACCCTCAACAGATACAAGTAAAAATATATCCAACAAAACCAATATCGATCACAAACTAATTACATTTTTCGACAGGTTATCACCAAACCCTTCCAAGGAAACCAATTAGGCCAACATATGATTACACAAGGAAAGCAAGTACTGCAGGCTAGCCAAGGTGGTAAGTACTTATATACATATTTTTTTATATTAGATTAGAAGAAAAGAAAAACAACCTTATGCCCTTGTCACTTTATGTAATATGTCCTCCGTTCACGTGGACAGTTACTTAATTTATTTTACTCCTTTAATTTCATTTTCGAATCTTATTTTTTTGCCTACTAATGCATTGGTAAAACGTACCCCTTCTTCCACGGCTTTTATTTATTTATTTTACACTCACTTTAATTACACACTCTTAAATGTATATAATACATTAGTTTTAAAGTTAGTTAGCATATTTCTTTTTCCCTAATTACAATTACGTTTGATAAATTTTAGCAACGTTTCCGGGTTACACAACAATACCGACCACGCAAAACCAACAAACTTTAGTATTCAGCCAATTGGCAATCGGCTCCCAGCCCAACATAATCCCCACGCATTCGGCGCCCGGAAATTCCGCGGTAGCCCAACAGAAGCCGCAGGAAATGCATAAAGTGATGCAAGGGCAAAAGGTACAAATGCAAAAGGTCACAGGAAACGTGCAAACAGTTGCAGGTGCCCAGCAGCAACAGGGTCAGTGCGTCCAGGTTTCCCAGGCCATGATCGGATCGCAGCCTACAGCTCAAATCATCAGTCCATTAGTATGTATTATATAGCATTTAATTGAAAAGAGAATTTTAAACAAATATTGCTCTATTCATCGTAAATTATTATATAATATAAGATAATTTAATTATTAATATTTTGCAGCAGAATGGTCAGCCAATGCAGTTCACTCCGTGGCAATTCACAAACGGAATACCTCAAGTATGGACAACAAACGGTCTTCAGTCGCAAGCCCTGATTGCTCCAAATCCGATATTTATTCGTGGGACGCAGGCCGATGGTTCCCAAGGGATGTTCATCCAACAAAGTCCGCAAGCGGCGACAATTCAAACTCAACAGAACCGTAAGACGAATAATTATTAATTAGCTAATCAGAAAACATTATAAATTGCGTTGTAATGGTTTAGAACCCACAATAACCGCCCAAGGAACTATCCAGCAGTTGGGAAAACCACGACCAGCCAACGAGAATATTCAACCAAAGCAGGCGACGAGCAGACCTCTGAATATATTACCTTCAAGCACACAAAATATAAGACCGGCAAGTTCTGTTTCTACGCAAACTATTGGGGCGCAAACACAAGTGAGTAATACCACCCACAAAATTAGCTGTTTTCTTTTGTTGTCAATGTCTATTTAAATCTTTGAATGTCGCTTACAAACAAAATGCTAAAACAGGGTGTATTATTTATTTGCGTTTCGTTGTTTTCTACCTGTTACATAATTTTAATTTGGTTCCTTTTTGTAACCAGTTGGTACTAAATTCTTTGCAGGTCATGGGGGCGAAAACAGGGGCTAAGGTGAGACCTAAAGCACCCGGAATCCGTACTTCGCCTGCTCCCAAAGCAGACGCGGCGAATCAAACTCAAATCAAACCGTATAATAACATGCAACAGCACCAAATAGTTCAAAATAAGTACGTAATTGAGTAGTTCACAGCGCAGGATGAAATTTAACATTTGTTTATTTAGGATGTTAGTAATGAATACATCAACGGGCATATCCATGACTCCCGGATCACCAATGACGGTGGAAAAGGCGCAACAAATTGCTAATCAAAATAAGCAAGTGCAACAGGGACAGCAACAACAGCAGCAGCAACAAGTTATGATGCAATCATCGATTCAGCAGCAAAACGCTTTGCAGCAAATGCAATTTCAGGCGCAGGCTGGTCAACAACATATTCAACCAAAACCCATGATGAGTAAGTTTACCAAAATTTAGTTTTAATTCAAATATAAGGACAAAAATAAATAAAAATATAATTGAAAATTTCGCCGATATTCAATATTAATTGTAAATTTATTTACAGCGATGCAAACTATACAAGGTATCCCACACCAATCGATGCAAATGCAAGGGGATAGACCGATCATGCCTGTAGTATCGATGTCTGCTCAAGGACAAAACGGACAAGTCCAACAGGCGATGCAACAAACCATCCAAGGGTTATCTTTACAATCCAATTTAGCTGTAACCCAACAACCAATGCAAATGGGTATCCAACAAATACATCCGGTAAGTCAACATTTTAAATATAATTTCTGGACTCGAACTAACATTCGTCTTAATTTCAGCAATTGCAACAGATGACGCAACAAGGGACAATAATTGGGCAAATTCAAGCAGCGCAGGGAACCATGTCACAAGTTAATACTAGTAACAATCAAATGCAAGCCCTTACTCAAGGCAACCAACAGACAATAACTTTAACGACAGCTCAGCAAGTTCCACTGCCAGCAAATATTCCATCCGTGAAGAGCGAGTTAGTTGGAGAAAGTGGTATTGCTGCAGATAGCCCATCAGGAATAGTAGAAATTCCAAAAGAAAACGGTAAGGCAAATTTGAAATTATTTAGTAACAAACATATCGAATATTTCCGGAATATAGGTATTTCTATTTGACGTACATAATTTGTGCAAAAATTAAAATAGAATAAGACCTGATTTCGTTTAATTAATTTGAAATATGGACCTATGACACCATAATTGAAAATTTTATTTTACGAAATGAGATTCCAAGAGCAACTAAAGGAGATCTCTGTGTGTGATCGTGAAGATTTAGATTCACACTTCGTTCCCTCCTTCCATTACAATAATAACTAAAGAACAACTTATTTCTTGTTTTGTTAAATTATGTAACTGATTATTTAACTTATTAATTTATTTAGGAGAGATCAAAGAATTGCAATCAATGGAAGTCAAACCGATTATAAATGGTGTGGAACAGAATCCTACTGCCACGGTACAACCGACGCCAATTCCGGGAACCATGACATCCGTACCGGTCACAACAACGACAGAGAACGGTTTACCTTTGGCCGTAACCGCGGAAGAAGTTAAAGAACGTTGTCCACCAAAAGCGATGGTTAAACCACAAGTTTTAACGCACGTAATCGAGGATTTCGTAATTCAAGAATCGTCTGAACCGTTCCCAATAACGAGAAGCTCACTGTTGGGCGATTACAAACATCCAAATTCTGATAAAGAACACCCAGATGAGCCTCCACGCAAGAAACTCGCTGCTTCACCTAATAATGTGATGAGCATGAGTCCGAAAGGCGAATTAGCGAAGTGCGAATCTTGTGGTATAGTTGATATCCGAGCCAAATTCAAGAAAAACAAACGCTTCTGTTCCATATCCTGCTCGAAATCGTAAGTTATATTAATAATAATAATAGTTTTAAATTAATTAATTAAATGTTATCGTATTGCAGACAAAAGATTAAAGATGGTAAAAAGAAATGGGACAAAGACGAACAGATGGAAGTTGATGTTGAATCTAATTCAGGTGCTGAAAGTAGTTTAAGTCCCACGGAATCTTCACAGGTTGAAGACACCACGCCAAAGGTGGATCCACTGAAATGGACGGTAAGTTTTCTGAATGCTAACAATTTCAAGAAGATTAATCAATGTTTCTTATTTTATTCAAGGTCCAAGAGGTTTGCGATTTCATCAAGAACCTTCCCGGATGTTCTGATTATGCAGAAGACTTCCTCATTCAAGAGATTGACGGCCAGGCGTTAATGCTTCTCAAAGAGGATCATTTGATGACTGCTATGGCAATGAAGCTGGGACCAGCTTTGAAGATTGTCGCGAAAATAGACGATATGCGTGTAGACAAAGAACCTCCCCCCAAACAAAACTAAACGAAAAGTAAAAAGAAAACTTTTGTGATATTGGTGAATCTTATTTATTAAAATGTATTTGTATATATATATTGTACATAAACTAGAACGATTGTAAATATTTATACAAATGAAGTTCGAAATAGACTTTTAGGATTTGTTACATAAATATTATCTATTTCCTCTAATTATTATTATTATTATCATTAACTAAGATATGTAAAATATGTATTAAGATCCCTTTTTATGATCGACAGAAGTATACATAAATGAGCATTGGTGGTATTTCTTTTTTTTATACATTTTTCATTCATTATTTACCAACTACTGTGTTCAAATGCTCTCAAATTGTACATAAATATTTTTTAAAAACAAACCAATAAATTGGATTTTGTTTGTAATCTAATGGTAGCGTTTTGTTTGAAACATTGTTTTTAGTTTATTTTTATATTACAAAATGACGATTATTTTGAAATGTGCAATGAGTTTTTATTTTGTATTTTTGAAAAATATGTTCAGTTTATGTATTTATAAAAGGAAACAAGCAAATTTACTGCCATTAAGATAATAATGTTTTGTAAAAGCGCAAACTTCAAAAGAATATATGATTTTCGTAAAAAAAAAAACAACACAGACAATAACTTTTTCCAGTACCTTTAGTGCCTTAATTGTTGATTATAGATCGAATTATTATAATTATTAATATATAATTTTTATTATAATTATTTAAAAACAAAGATTTATCGCGTTAAGTAGTTTTGTTGATCCAGTTATAAATTGGAAAACGCAAATTAGAATTAGTTTAACTTAAGTCAATTTTCAATTAACAACCGTTTAGTGAAAATATTTTCTTTTTATTGTGTTCAACATCCATTTGTATCATATTTATTATATGTAAATAAAATGATTCAAGTTGGTGAGAAAATCAACAAAAGACGTATCTTATACAAAAGACAAACATTTTGAAAGGAGAAACAATAGGTCTTTTATAAGCAGTAATCCATATAGAGATCACAGGAAAGTAAAATAAATATGCTGCAAACATGTGAAAATGTGTATTTTATATTCCCAGTATATTAAAAGGAGACGATTGAAAAAAAAAATGCAAATCACACACACTACAAACTGTTAGAATTTTGAATTAATGATAAATTCATAAATTAAAAAGCTGAAACATTTGGAATAACAACAAAAACATGATTTCAAATATAGTTTAAAAATTTAAAATACATTTATTAAGAAAATGTTGTAATGAATACTTTTATTTAAATCATATTTTTTTATTTTATTAATAAATGATTAAATTTAGAAAGTATAATCATACACTTATTAGTGTTTCATAATCAAAATTATGATTCTTAGACATGAAATTTTATAACCTAAAAATTTTATTTTTTTGTGATTACGAGAGTAAACAAATTAAACATAGTATTGATTGCACGCACTCTATATAGAGCAATTAAATAGTATTATACACAATATATAATTTAACCAAATAATGTATATAAATTATATTTTACCTAATTGTGAAGAAATGATCTAATATCACTATTAAAGTATTCACTAAAAAGTAATTATAATAGTAAATATGCTCACCTTTAGTTTATTTTGTAATGTGAAGAGATTATTTCAGGAATTGCAGTTGGATTTATGATTCTAATACAAAACAACACGAGACATCAAACACTTATTGACATATTGTACCTTTGTAGCCATTGACTACGAAAATGTAACGAAGGAAAACGACGATACCCGAAATACATTTAAATTTAAAAGGAAAAACAAACATTTAAAGTGAACTTTAAACCAATTACTTATTTATTCAGTACTGGATTTGCATACATTAAACTTTAACTATGTTAATATTATTTTTATAATAAATAGATATAAACATTTACTTGTGTACTAATAATAAAGATTATTGAATCAATTATACAATACAAAAAGTAAATAAGAATAAAATAATAACATATTAAGTTAGTCTACCTGAACATATGTAACAATTACATGGAAAACTGAAGAAATTCAATAGACATAATTTAATTAATATGAATTTAATCATCTCATATATTTCATCATTTCTGTTCGAGTAGTTAATTTAACAAAATAAATTGAATTAACAAAAGAGCAAGAAGTAACTTTTAGTTTCGTTAACGTAATAATTATAATATAATATAAAAAACGGTAAATTCAACTGAGGTCATCGACATTCATTGACCTCGAATCTGTATAGACATCTCACAGTATTTATTTACACACAGTCAAAACAAATAGTAAGATCAAAATATATTCTGTAATTTTACTGCGTAATAAAAAAGAAGATACACAGTTTTACGGACGTCGGCATTGGCCATTGACACCTAACATAAAATTAAATATACAAATGTTAGCGGCAAAGAGTATAATGGATTTCTTAGGCTTTATACAGAATTATCCTGAATAATTATGTTTTATAAGAGCCGAAATCGTCGCGCTCCAATAACGCAGATTATTTCATTTCATTTATTTTTCGTGTTAAAAAATAGCATAAATTTAAATATTGTTTGTGCTGTGGTAAAATAAGTATATAAATGAATCATATTTCTGTCTGACTCGGAGTTTCTTGTTAAAACTTTGATCGTGCTTTACATTCAAATACATCAAATAATTGTAAACCTTTTGCTAATAAAAAAGGAAAACAATAATCATATGGAAACATGCTACATACATTGGTGATGAATAATTAATTATATCGTTAATTTACTGTCCATTCCATGTAAATGGACAATGAATTATTGACGTAGGAAAAACGAAGGTTGTTTTTGCTGAATCTTAAAAAGAAATATAAGTAAATTGCAAATGCTTAAAATGTTAATGTAATGTATTAACAATTCTAATGAAATTCGCATCACGTAACATTATTATAAAATATTCATAAACATTTTGTATATAGTAATATCAAATTTATTTTTCACTTTTATTTAAACATCTTTCTGTCGGATCAACATTATTTTTATATTCAACTTTATAAATAATTGTATGAAAAATTAAAATCTCAAATGCAATCTTCCATCCAGATCAGTGAATCATCCATCCGACTGGAAATGAATAACGATAAATGCATTTCCGCATTCTTTGTGTCATGAATAATGAGGTTTTCTGTGAATTATAATAATAATGATTGTAAGCGAAGCCTTAAATACTCTCTACTAATATAAATGAATGTATATAAAAAATGATCGATTAAAGCAAAACTAATATCACAAATGTTGAAAATAAAAGAAGGGAAGCGTTGATCATGTGGACGCTGTAGTTGTAGCTGTAGCAGCTGGTGGAGCAACGCCGAAAGCTGAGATAAAGACGTTTATCGTTGTGACCAAGAAGATGCCGATGACTGTATAATTATTGATTTTATTGGCAACGCAGATCTCTTTCTTGTCTTTGACGTTGTACCTCGCATTCCAAATTAAGCCCACTCCAATTCCGACCTAGAACAATAAACACAAATGATTAAGTCTCCATGTGATAATGATGCACGATGATGACGGTATGCTGCTAGTTGCAATTAAAACTGAATGCGTGGAAATAAAAATAAACATTGCGTGATCGCCTGATAAGAGACAATTTCTTTGTTTTTATTCAGGAAATGGATGTTTTTTTTTTAAATGTTTATTTTGTAGGATGCGAAGGTTGAATAAATTTACCTGTAGCAATAGGCTTATTGAAATCAAGATGACGCTTGGATAGAAATATGGGTGTCTTGCGTAGCTCTCGATGATGTAGCGCAGTTGATTTGCATTCGCGGAAAACAGAGCCAAATCCATCATTCCTTGTGCCAAGGTCTTTTTGTGTTGATAACGTTACGTCTGGGATGCTTCCAGCTCAGAAAAGCCCCCCATGTCGTACTCGGTTCTTCTATCGTACGGAATGTAACCCGGGGCATGTGGGAATGGATGGTGAGACCTTGGATGGCTCGGTGGTATGTTATTCGGAAGAGCATCACCATTCGGTACTTTGGCATCGGCCTCGTCTTCACCGAATCTGTTGTGAATCTCCGGGATCTCCTCGGGCTTATCGAAGAAACCATCGTCTATACCGGGATAAGGGGCTACCGATGTTTGCGATTCATCCAGATCGTCAATCTCTGGACCGGCGATCGGTGGTTTGTTGCCCATTAGGTTCATCTCGATCAGAGGATTGTTTTCTGCGTGTTTTTCTACCCAATCGACTGTAGGATTCTGATTCATTTCACCTCACGCTCCACAACTCAATATAAAATTAACAATTTATTTATAAACTTGCGCTAATGTATGTAGGTGGTATGTACGTTTCGAACGGAAGATTCAAGCAGACTGACTCCTTTAGAAGCTAGAGCACATACGCAACTGTAAAAACCAGTTCGGCGAAATCCACAAGACTGGAGAATCGCCAGGGGATTTCCATCCAATTCCCTACCGTTTCCGTCCGCTCCTCCCCCTCTTTACGCAAATTTATGTTTAATTACGCATATTATGTTTAATAGGCAAACATAATTCTTGATAAAGAAGTCTAACATTATCTTATCCACGTGTGTGATTTATAATTACAAATATTTGCCAAAATATATTAATAAGTTTATTTTAGGATTCACTCTGCTTTCCCCAAAAAAAAAAAACTTTCAGACAATGTGGAGCCACTTGTTTTCCCCATCCCAAATCTAGGGTCATAGACCATTAACTTAATATTTTCATACAATAAATAATATATAATTATTATGCAAAAAAAGTACACCACAAAAGTACAAAAACATTTCTGTAAATAAATATTAATTAGAATTTTCAGTTATTTAAATATATAACCATAGAAGATAGTTTTCTAATTAAATAAATATTATGAAAATTATCTTTTTTGTAATTATAATATCAGAAAACGAAAGAAGTTTCCTCTAATTAAATAATGAGGTTTTCTGTGAATTATAATAATAATGATTGTAAGCAAAGCCTTAAAAACTCTCTACTAATATAAATGAATGTATATAAA